ATCACTATGCATAGAAGCAGCACCCCTTGCTTTCAATTATACTACTATACGGTCACCTGTTTCCAGCAGACAACGACTTCAGAAATTTCAGGACGCAAGTGGGACGCACTTCTCCTGCGCAAGCAGCACTGATGACCGTTTGTGCCAAGAATTTCATTCGGCTCAGATTCCGGCGCAGAAGCACAGTTTTTTGGGGGAGCTAAGTTGGCCACCTGAAAATATGTGAAAAAGTTTTTCCAGGACCAAGAATCAAGGTTTGAAGACCCTCCAGAAAGCATTTTTCCGGTCGGGGCTGTTCAATAATGACTTGCATTGCATGCCATGGAGCCGCTGGCGTTCAGCATTGGAGGGGCTGCTTGCAGGACCGTACAGGGGTACAGCGCCCTCATTAGCCAGCTGCTTTGTATGTTTCTAATTTGTTCAGCAAGCTCCTCCCCTCACTACCCTGCATGAACAGAAGTGATCGACAGTGACGGCATGTGGTGCTTCACAGGCAACTTTCTCTCCCAGCATCCTGCTGCCGGAAGTTACAGACGCCACGGCAAGCAGTGCCAGTACAGGAGAGGCAAGGGAACTCAAGCCTGCAACTCTCGTAACATGCGTGCTTGCGCCACAAATGTTTTCTTCACATTTCTTCAGGTATGGATTTGTTGCTTACAGGCACAAGCCAGGCACACACCTTGACCCAGAGTGCATGAGTCCTCTGGCCGAGTCGCATACTTTCAGTGTGCTTGCTTTACAAAACTTGCATCGTGTTCAAGACTGATAGGTGGACCTTGCAGGGTATCCGAAGCTCAAGACGCAATTGTGGCACCGTGAAGCGCCAGGAGAGAGGCGGGAGGAACTCCGGACCGGGACCGCTGGAGGCACTCGAAGGGGAACATGAGACGGATTTGCCAGGTCTGTACCCAGTTGTGGAGGTGTAAGACGGCTCTTTGAGAAAGGTCCGCATGCAGACGCCCATAGAACGCTTAACTGTTTCTCTGTGATGCCCGTTGATATTTGTACATCCCTTCGCTATTGGAGTCTGCAGTGAACGCAATATGAAACTCGGGCGGTCAGGCTGCCGCTGCTGCTCTGGCGGCTTCTGCTGCTGAGCTCAAAGCACAGATCAGTTTTTTGGGGGATATGTAAGAGCTAGGATGGCAATGAAGCTGCAAGAGTGCTCGCTTAACCTTTGCCCTGCAGGGCTTAGTGTTGCGCAGTTTCGTGTGGACATGTGCAGGTTGGCCGTCTTGTCCACGTAGTCTGTACGTTCTATGTTCTATACGATCAACATGGCAGATCCTGCGTGGAAATCTGTAAAGCCCAGGGCTACCGCGTAGCGTAGTGGCATAAGTGACTGGATGTCGACAAATTCCGGATCCTTCCGGAGTTCCTACCAGATCCTACCAAAAAGCGCTTGCTCAGCTTTTCTAGCATGGCGGCGTTTGTTGATGCCTGCATGCTGGGGTACAGCCTTAGAGATCCTCCTTTTGCAAATGCAACTTCATGCATCATGCAGTGCTGCCCTCTAGGATCACGAAACTTCTACAAGTATTGCAACCTCCACCTGGAACCCTCAGAAGCTCAAAACGTAGGCATGTGCCTATGCACTCCCCGTCCTCTATAACAAATGGAATATGGGTGGTTGTCAAAATTATAGTCCCTTTTTGGATCCCTATTATAATATGGCACCTAATATTTAGGGTACCCAAAAAGAGATCATAATTTTGACAACCACCCATATCTTTTTGGATATTTGGGGGAGCGCTGGAGCTGGTGGCTGTCATTGTTAGGGGGAAATGATCAAAGATACGTATGGGGCGTTGTCAAAATGTAGCCCCTTTTGTCTATCCCAAGAATCAGGTGCTGCATTGTACTAGGGACCATAAAAAGGATCCATCTACTATATGATAAGAGGGTTTTGGTGCCCCCAAATTAGGACACCATTATTATCATGTGATTTCCATCCTCTTGCCTTTGATTCTCCATAATAGGAGAATATCCCCAGACCCTAAATAGCCCTATCAGATTCCAGTTTCCATTTAGTTTTCCGCTTGATTCTACATTATTGGATTCTTATTGTTGGGTACTGCCCCCCACCCCATTATTAACACTTAGAAAACAGGAATAATATAGCTATATAGAGCCTTGAATATGACCCCGATTATAGGCTGTCAACGGGTGGGAGATTGCTTAATACGACCCCTGTTATAGACTGTTAATGGGTGGGGGCAGTACCCAATATTATTGCCACATGGTAATTGTCCAATATAATAGTCCCCCAAGGTATTCTAATCCTGATTGTAGGGAGCCCCAAACCCCCTAATTTCGGGAAACCCTCTACCCGAAAACCCTTAAACAGAGCTTCTGTTTTCTTTTCCGTGTTATATATATACATATATATATATATGGAGGAGGGTAGGTGGCCTGGCATCCTGAGGTTGCTTTCTTCCGTTCCGCGGCCACGCGCCCCACGCCGCGGCCGAGCCGTATGCGGCCGAGAGGCGCCGCGAGCTGAATCATCTAGACCTCACAAGTTTTTACAACAGGATAATGCTTGCAATGCAAAAATGGGGCTATGCATGATTGGCTGTCGTACTTCGTCGACGATTGAATGCAGAGTGCACCGGAAAGAATTGAGAACATGGCTGCCAGTCCGTGTGCTGCTTTCAACAACGTGGTTGTGGTGATATACCTTGACCAGCCCCACCAGCAAGATACATGTACCGCCTTCTCCAAGGCCTTGATTTCATATGCGGTCACTTCCTTGCAGCCCCTTAGTGGAAGTGTAACCCTACCTCACATAAACTTTCCATGGCCTCCGTTGGAAAAAAACTTGTTCTGACGTACCAATACAGTTGTCCTGCCAAGTTATTTTTTTGACTTCTCTCACAGTGCAGCTCTTTTACAGATTCCCTCCCTCCTTGATAGTTCTTTGATCTCGCATGTAAACTTCTATTCACATCATACTTGATGAATGCATCTTCCCCTCGGGCGAGGGATTGGCAATCAGCTGGGCACCCTGAATTCACGCTCGCTAAACTAGCAGCCACATCACGCGCTTGCGGCAGATGCTAGTGTAAAGGGGTCTCCACACCATTTGCTGTTTCTTATGCTGCGAATTTCCATGGCAACCATGGTATTCTGATGGAAGTACCCCTACAAACGTCAGCTTCACAATTTGGATAAGCTCCGCTGAAGCCCTAGAAGTTTGATGACAGTAACCCGCAAAGTTTTTTCTCTTTCACATCTTAGCTTTGCTCGCTTTATCAGGGTTTATATTAATCGAACCCAAAAGGTTAGCTTAGTTTGTTTATAGTATGTGCATATAATGTGCGTGTGTATGCCTGCGTGCGCGCAGGTAATCTTCAATCCCTACATCCCTGTATACTCTTCCATCCTCTGTGAGAAACTCATTACAGTATTGCACTGCAAAACGAAACGTGGGCCCTGACAACGTACCTTTCTGCTCCCTAAATCCATTATAATGCGTGTCCCTACAGTGGGGTTCTTGTATAATACGGGTCCGCGCATTTTTTGTATATCTTTAGTGCATGTACAGGTGCAGCATTAAGAGCTTCTCCCACATGTTAAACTTATTGTCATGGCTTCTTGTCATGTTTTTTCTGCCAATATAACCAGCCCTTCAAAACCAACCTACTGACATGAACGTGTACGTGGGCAGGTACATCTGGGCTTGAAGTACTCACCTGCATGCTGATGTTGGAGGAATTCAGAGTTCAGAGTTCATCGCTGAGTGATAGCTGGACACTAAGCACATCTCGGAAAGGGGTCATGGCGTGCCGTGCTCGTCGCATCCAGCTCGCTGCTTGCTAAAGCAATCGTACTTCCAGAATTCAAGCTTCAAGTGTTGACTCGCGCAGGCTTCCTCCTTTTGTTGAGGGACCTCACCGGGCGGCTTGGCCGATGAGCGCAATTCGAGCCAGCTAATTTTTGCCAAGTTGGCCTCCGCGTGCAAGAGGCCGTGTTAGTGTAAGACACTGCATGGCAGTCAATGTGCCTAGGCCGCTGGTCCTCAGCGGTGCAAGCTTCGTGCCGACCTCGTTGTCTGTTTGATGGGTCATATCCGGTGTGATAGGCATAGAAGTGCACAGATCTTTCCGCATCAGGGTGCGGAGTACTACGTTTCCGTGCAGCATGTCGTAGGGCTTGTTGCAGAAAGCAGGTGCTGGCTACCAATCTGCCTCGTCTCGTGGTGGCGACAAGCATAGCTGCCTCTCGGCCAGTCAAGCCATGAAATTCGCCCCTGAGCAACGCATTCCGCGAATTGTGTTGTCACTTCTCGGGGGATTACAAATCAGCCTGAGGTGTTCGTGTTTGCAGCTACTCATCCTCGAAGTAGACAGCGCGAAGATGCCGCAGCAGCTTGGCCCGGAACGCTATCAGATCAGATATCATATGATATCATCACACACTTTGTAGTTTGTTGGTGGAAGAAGATGAGGAGAGCAAATTATTTGTGCAGCGGCAGCAGAAGCGTGGGTTGGGGCTGGGTCATTCAAGAATTCTAGTGGGGGAGCCCCTTCACCTTGTGAACCAGCTTCAAACAGCTTGCCATTCTTATGGCAGGTTCAAGCAGCACCAGGTGGAGATGCTGCCGAAACTTCAGCCAGTCGCAACCTTATTCACAACTCTAACGGGGCATCCATTCCCTGGCGTCCTGCTGAGAAACTCACCTTTGTGCCCCTTGATTTTAGGGCTGGTGAGTATGCCATGCGAGAAAATCCAACTACATTGTCTGCCTGAACCTACAGAGGTGGCTCCAATGGCGACTTTGCAGAAGTCTCCTTGCTCAACACTGCCGTGCAGGAGCTGCGGATCAACGACTTTCAAAGCTTTGAATACAAACAACAACACTGACCTTGATTTGATCCAGGCTTTGTGTAGCATAGTGCAAATCAAGAGCATGGCAAACACCAAAGTATGAAGTCGGCTGAAGCGTTGGCTCAAAAAGTCAGTTTCTACACAGACGGGGCCTTTTGCATGGCTGTGCCATGAACCGAATGCATCCATTTGCTATGTTTGGCTCGCTGCTGCTCTTCACGCTGCTAGGCGGAGTCAGTGCTCAGATTCCGGAGGCCACACTCCTGGAAAATCATGAGAAAGGTGAGATTCGTCTCGCCGAGGTTCGCCGCTATGTGCTGCGATCCAGGAATGCCCGTCTGGGTCTCTTCGTCCAGATTGGGCATCACGACTGGGCTTCCCAGATCTCTCACTGCCTTGAGGAGGTGCTCTCAGCGACAGACGAGCCGACTGGAGTCCACCTGAATTTCGTCAACGGCACGGCTCCCTCCGATGATGAGGTGGAGGAGCTGCTCGGCTATGTGCAGGGCAAGCACAGCAAGGCCAACATTTTTGTGACGAACTCTGCAGGTGCCGCTGCAGACATGCCTCAGTTCCTCATGCAGTTGGATTCCGCCACCCGGGGAGGAGTGGACTACGACATTGTCCTGAAGCTCCGTGTGTCGCCTAAAGATGACGTCCAGCAGCTGGCTTCTCAGTCGCTTTGCGGCTCCCGCTTCCAAGTGCGCTCTGTGCTGAACGCCTTTGCCACGCAGCCTTCGCTGGACCTGATTGCCCCGGCAGGAACCATTATCGATCGCAAGATGAGCGCCAAGCACCTGGCACCGCCTGTCTTCAGCAAGATCCTCGGCAATCGCACCTGGGCAGGACCCAGCGCTAGCAGCGCCAAAGGCGTCCGGTCGCTTCTGCTCATGAACACTGGCAACGTGGGTCTCCACGAAGCAGAGGACCTGACCACCTACGTTGCCGGGGGCAGCTTCTGGCTCCGACGCCAGGCCGAGCCCGTGAAGACCGCGGTCTCAGCTATCCCTCGCCTAGCTCCCCTGATTCAGCAGCACAACGACGAAGCTCGTGCCCTGGAACATGCTCTCGAGTGCTTTGTTACCACAGCTCTTCGTCTTCGAGGCCGAAGCCTGGCCACCATGCCCACGGCCCCCAAGGTCATTGCCATGTACTACCCGCAGTTCCACAAAGTGCCGGAGCTTGAGAAGTTCTTTGGAGATGGCTACACAGACTGGAAGGCCCTGCAGGACTTCAAAGGTCAGGGACTCCGAAAGCCTTTGAGCGAGGAGCGTGGAGGACTGGGCTTCTATGACCTCATGAAGCGTCAGGTTCGCGGCCATCAGGCGAATTTAGCCAAGACTCATGGAGTCCACGGCTTCTCCTACTACCACTACTGGTTCAACGGCGAGGGCGGACACAACAAGAGCGTCATGTGGAAGGTGCCCTACCAGGTGCTCCATGACGGTCAGCCCAATTTGCCTTATTTCCTCACCTGGGCCAATGAGCCCTGGACCAAACGCTTCACCGGCAATGCTGGCGAGGATGTGCTCATCGCGCAGACGTACGGTCAGCGCGAGCAGTGGGAGGAGCACTTTGAGCATTTGGTGCAGTACTTCAAGGATCATCGCTACATGAAGATCGACAACAAGCCCATCTTTGCCATCCTGCGCCCACAGCTCCTTGAGGGGAAACTGGAGCCCATGCTCAAGCTCTGGCGTAGCCTGGCCGTGCAGAAGGGGTTCCCTGGCCTCTACATCATTTCCTCCGTGGGCCGTCGTTTCTACGAGGAGCACAACTACAAGGCGGAGCTCTTGGACGGTGCCTTCCATAATTCCGCAAACTGCCGGGATCTCTGCGGCGGTGTGGCTTCCAATCGCGACCTTTTCCTGGTGAAGGAACCGCATCAGTACTGGGGTGCCACTACTGGCTTCGACGGGCGTGTGCACGGCAACGGCGGGGCTATGAAAGTCACGCCCAAGGATTTCCAGCACGCCCTCGTTCAGTCGTTTGCCAACATGACGGCCATGCCACAGCGCCATCTTCCTGAGAACCTGTTCTTCGTTGGCTCCTGGAACCACTGGGCGGAGCAGCACACGCTCGAGCCTGATGACACCTACGTCTTCGGCTACCTGTCAGCACTGCGCAATGCCTTGGAGCACGTGCAGCCCAAGAAGCTGGAGGCCCTGAAGACAGGCTCTACCACTCATGAGAGCGTCTGAGCACACGCAGACATTGCACATGCAGTAGTTGTCACGACGTCCTCCGGAAGTCGGATTACTCTTTTGTCTCTTGGACTGCGACAATCCCAAAGATGGACAGGCAACCTGATAGTTTCGCCTCGCACTAGAAACAGCCCACACAACTACCAGAGGCCCATCGCTGTCCAGAGACGGCCAACAGTTTTGAGGTCCAAACTTCAGCGGCGAGAGGGCCAAAGTGGTCTCTCGTCACCAGTTGGACCAGCACGGCGGTGTTAGGTTGCTTTGCAAGACGTTTCCTATGGACACCTGAACGTGTGTTTCATGCCAGCTTACCCGGATCTCTTTAAACTGGAAGCACCGCTTTGCAAACGTTTTCCCAACCGCGGAGGCAGCAGCTTTCCCAAGGAATCCTGCTTCCGAAGCCACTTCCGTTTTTGCAGGCGCAGGGACTAGCCTTGGCTTTTCAACCGAAAGCATCTGCAGGAAGCGGCTGATGCCTGCTGAGAGAGGGGCTTCATTCAGCATAACGTTAATTATTGCATGTGTTGGTTGTTGTTATGGATGTTGATTATGGATGTCGTGGTAAGGTGATTGAGCCCTCTCATAGATAGGAGCTGGCTGAGGAGTGAGGGTAGCATGTCGCAAAACTGAGCGGTTGTTGCTCCGAAGCTAGCCGACTGTGCTGGAACTCCTAGTTCTAGAGATGCAAAGCAGCCTGAGCACTGAACTTGTAGAAGTATAGATTCGAGAAGTACCTATATGCTTGGAGCGGCTGACAGGGATAGAGTTGAAGATGATCCTTCTTAGTTCTCCGAAGTCAAGATGATGCTTCCAAACTTGGGCTAGGAGATGTGGCCTGAGATCACGAGTTTCATCCGGACGGTGTTGAAGGAGACGGTCGAGGAGCTGCAATTGCAAGCGTGCCAGCCAATGCCATAGTGCTTGAAAGGAGAAATCCACGGGCTTATAATTAGAGAGTATTGGGGGGGTCGCCGGGGATCCTGAAGGGGTGTGTTGACAAATGCTAGCGAGGTTACTCTGGGCATGTTCTGTCAAATTGAGATGGCCTTCTTTGAGGGCATATGGTTCAGTTATAAAGGGCACGCAGGGACGTGTTCAACGTATTCCGAGCAATCAACCATGCGCTCCTAACCTGCCATACTTAATATTAGAGAGTCGAAGTGGACCAAGTTGCTCCAATGCTTCCAGTGCCTCGGTTGGGAGACTATGCTTCTAATGAATATTATAGTAGTTTCCATTTTTTATGGTTGGAGGGTTGCAGAGCCAATTTTTCGCCAATTTTATTTTGAATGGAATTTTGTGCCACTCCGACGATTCATGTTTTTTGGAGGCCTTCGCGTACCGTCGGGTCCAATTTTTTGCGCTCCTATTCCTCCAGCCCCATCCATGTCAGAGCCCGCTAGTCTTCCACGTGACTACTGACCATGTGCATTGTTTGAGGCGCCCATGCCCAGCTATTTCGGTTAAGGATCAGATTCCAAAGCCTTGTTTCAAAGCTTGCCGTGGAAACTCATCGTGCCATGTCCGGAAGGGCACGCAGCCAAAGAGTCGATTAATCGGGGCAGGCAAATTTGGGTGTGCTGCCCGGTTTTCACCACGTCTAACGACAGTGCTAATTTTGTTGACAATTTTGCCGCCAATTTTCGGCTA